TCAAAACCACTTGCAATCTGATTCATAGCTGAGCGCCTTGCCGCCGGTTACATAACGTAAGGTGAAGATGATTGTCATTATCTTTTAGGGGTTGATATGGAAAATAACTCCCTCTTTTAGGGGTGAAAAAGGAAAAGTTGGTTTTTAGCATGCCTCAAATCATTTATCTTTAGGGCTAACCAGGACTCCTTAATAATATGGGCTCCTTGTCTAAATAATTTATTATCATAATTGGAAGTTTTGACCATTATCTTTTCCATAAAATGACATAAAGCCAACTGCTGGATCCATGAGTATGTTTCACTAATATTAAACCCTCTCTTACCCAAAAAGTTATAAAGTATTCACACTTACCCAATCTAACATTTTATCATAGAAGCCAGCTATGTTGAGAATTCCTATAGGTTTCTTGTGAAGTCCTAATTGTCTCCTGTAAAAAAAACTTTGATTAATTTCACAACCAGCACAATGGCCAATCTAAGTGATCAGGGCACTGCTAACAACCACTGGGCTGATGATCTAAGTTAATTAGATCTAAGTTAACTAGATCTAAAACAACCTCTGGGCTGATCATAAAAGATTGAACCTGAAACAACCTCAGCAAACAAGCCGTCAGTGGTTCGAGTCCCGCGAGAACCCAACTGAGGCAGATTTTTTAATCTGCTTATACACTCGATGTAGCATACACTTAACATACAAACCTCAGGGTTAGTTGTTCTTGGTTAGTCATTGCTAACTCCCAGATTAAATTGGAATTTAGAGAGAAAAATCAAACCCTGAGAAAAACCTTTGAATCAAGGCCAAGAATTGAACCTGAGACCCTAGAGGTGAGAAGCAAGTGGTAAGTGCAGTAATAGTAATGAGGTTTCAAACTATGAAGTCTTAGTATTTATTTACCAAGTTATCATTTCAAGTAATTCTTCTGCTGTTCCAAAGCCTCCTGGTAAAGCTATCAATGCATCAGCCTTTAAATAATTAGAAAGAAAATACTGTTTAAAGCATTTCTTGTTTGTGTCGATCAAGCTATCTATCCACTCCAGCAAGTTGGCCCGGAGGGAAAGGGGGGGGGACGGGAGGGTGTATTCTTGCCCGTTTAGGGTAGGGATGTGCAGCTGAGCTCTCTGAACCCTGACCATTTTCCAGAGTAAAATCGCTGAAATTCAACCCCTGTTCCAGAGTAAAATCACTGAAAACCAAGACTTATTGTATATAAAAACCATCTTCCTGTACTTGCGAAAGAAACCCTGTTCCAGAGAGAGAGAGAGAGAGAGAGAGTGATTTCATATGCCCTGTTCGAGAGGGTGAGCGCAATTTTATATACCCTGTTCCAGAGTAGAATTGCTGAAACCATACCCTGTTTGGTGGCACGTACCGGCGTATAGCGAATACTATGGATTTCATCGAAGTGTGGCACGCATTAAAAAATTCGTCTGCGAATTTGCCTGCGAGACGCTGTGACTCCTCCCACTTGGAGGTGTGATTTTGTCTGCATTCCTTTCTCGCGAAATGCACAATGAACATTAGTGAACTTGGTCGTGTTTACAGTAGGGGAAAGAGCATAGTAGTGATTTGAGATCTCTCGTTATAGATGAGATTGCTGAAAGTGGTGGGGATATCATAACAGGATTTTTTCCTGGAAAATTCGCAGAAATTGCTTGAAAACTTCCCCAGCCTCCATACTCATTTTTGAACTCGTACCTTCTACTCACCGCCATAACTTCGAATTGAACGTTGCACGGGAATAGCCGAGAAAGGAATGCAGACAAAATCACACCTCCAAGTGGGAGGAGTCACAGCRTCTCGTAGGCAAATTCGCAGACAAATTTTTTAATGCGTGCCACACTTCGATGAAATCCGTAGTAAAGGGGAGTACCCATCCTGGTCAAGTTAATCCACATTTCAATTCCTAAACAGATGCCTGTTTCCTTTCCCACCCTCCCAATTTTATCCATATATTAGGGGTATATTATGCAGATATTTTCTAGAGAATTAATACAAAATATTCTTAATAAAATTGATGATTAATTTTAACATCAACCTTTTCCAACATGTTTCTTTTTCTTGTGTGCATATCTTCAACGATAACTGTCTTCCCAATAACTTCAAGAAACGTTGGATCTACAAAAAAAATGGACAATATTTTCAAAAAAACAGTGCCTGTCAAAATTGAAGAATATTTATTTGTATAATCAAGACGTATGCATGAATTATTTTTGCAAGCAACAGAGTTCATCTGCACTTTGAAAGAACCCACATGTTTGTAGTAGGTTGCCGACATGTACCCAGTTGCTTGGTGTATACCAAAACCAATGTTATTTGCACATGGATTTTTTGATGGGGGTAGGATTAAGGGCTGGTATGGATTTATATTTATTCACTTTATACTTAATATTTATATTTATG